AATCAACTAAGCAGTTAGCCTCATGGCAAGCATGCTTTCATGTTAACGTTCACATACATGCGAAATGCTAAAGCATAAAACACTCACAGTGTACTCCAAGCCAAAACAAAGAACATGTTAGTAATCAAATGTATAATCCAAGTCCATGTTAAGATGGCTAATGCATCGCAGGCAAAATGCAGCTTAGATAGGTCGGCTAATCTATGGATGGCATGTGAAATGCAATAGATAACATGTATTCAAGTTAGATTTGAAATACTATGCGATTAGTATGATGTGCCGAGCCGGGTGCATGCAATACAAATGAATGAATGCACACATGCATAGCATAAGGATGCTAATTGAAACATGACCTAGAACTAACCATTGTAAGCGGTAAGTAAAAGGGAGAAAGAAGTGGAGGTTGGGAGACATGCACACACGCACGCACACTTATTACAAAATTCGCCCTCTTGACTGATGGTTAGTATTAGGGCATATTTTAATTAGCATCCTTATGCTATGCATGTACGCATTCATTCATCAGTATTGCATGCACCGGGCTCGGCGCATCATACTAACGGCATTGTATTTCAATTCCGAGCTGAATACTTGTTAGTTGTAGCATTTCGCATGCCATCTTTAGAATAGCCGAGCGTATCTTAGTTGCATCTTGCCAATGCATGCGTGCTCGGCTTCGCTCGGAAATCCACCACCATGCACAAGCTGCCTCTGTTTACCCTGCTCTGCTTCTCTGAAAATTGTGCAAGTCTCAATGATGCTCCAGAATCACTTCCTGATCACTGTGGAAGGTCACCGACCAAGAGGAAACACCACCGGCCAGGGGAAACTGGTCATCGACTATTGGTATGGCTCTCGGCCAAAGATATTTAGTCGGCCGGCACTGATAATGGTCGGTCAGCCATATCTTCCTGCAAAATCCTGTTTTGACAGCAGCAGAGGGCAGACAAGGCATGGCAATGCATTTCAAAGCAAATGTTTGCACCACCACACTCCTTATCATATTCATGACTCAAAGGAGGATGGCCCTCGACCCTCGGACCACCAATCGCGCATTTCAATACATGATGGTCCGAGGTGTCAAGTTATGCATTTTGATGTCAAATGAAATGCACACAAACACCTAAAGGGCCCAACCTCTATCATGGGGATTCAAGTGGCAAGACATGCATGCCAAATACAACCTAAGCATGCAAGCTGAGTATGCAATATGAACATGAGGGCAAACATGCACACATGCAAGCATGTAACAACATATCAATGGCAAAACATGCAACAACATATTAGGCAACTAAAAGAGAGAATACATGCCAAATGCATTACAACCTAAGCATGCAACAACATGCCATATAGCTAAGCATGTATCAATAATGCAAGCAATGAGCATGCAAAACACTATGCAACCAAAACATACAAGCATGAAGCAATGTAACAACATTTGAACAACATGCAAACGGTGGACTTAAACTAATATGGACAAGCCTCAGCCATGTCTAAATAAGTAGCCAAAATGCTATGGGAATGAAGGCAAATTTACATGCAAACATGCATGCGAACATGGTCCAACACTTAAGCACAAAGAGGGGACTTTTAAGCACACTTAAAAGGGATGAACATGGACATATGGCAAGCATAGCAAACTTTGAAATCATGTTAGAAAAGGTGCCAAACCAATTAAACAAGGCAAGCATAGCGTGCAACCAAGCCCAAGGCCTAAGGCTAATCTAAGGGATCAAACCATGGCTATGCAAGGCGAGTCCCAAAGGGTCGAGGGGACTCAAAACAGTCCCAATGTAGGTCGAGACAAGGCCCAAAACACACTTAGATGGCATCTAAATGGCCTAAGTCTAAAGACATGCATAAAGGTCCAAAAATGGAGCATAAAACATAAACCTTTTGAAGCATCAAAGGAGCCATGAATGCAAGTATACAAGCATGCTATATGGACTGAAATGACATGATAAGTGGTTCCAAACCACTGAAATGGTGCAAGGAAAGCATGCTAGAGGATCCAACGCCCAAGGTCTACAAAGGGGGATTGCATGGTAGCTATACAAAGAAAGTCATGGACGACCCAAATGACCAAAATCAGACCTCAAGCACATCAAAACATGCATAAAAGCTTCACAAAACTAAACCAAAATCATGCTAAAAACAAGGCTCAAAGCACAAAGCATGTTAAGGCAATTTCATGACATTACAAAATAAGTATGCAAAGCATGCATGGTGTGTCTAAACTAACTAAAAATAGTGCTATATCATGACAAAATAAACACAAATACTACTTAAGACATGGCCAACATGAACTCAAGAAAGGTGCTCACACATGAGGCTAAAATGGAAAGTATTGAAGACAACAAGGAGAGGGGATGGCCCTCTCCTTCTTAGGACCTCAAAACACCATCCCCACACTGAAATCCAGAGTGAGGAGGCCAATACAAGGTGGTCCCGGAGCTCACCAAAAGTGCACAAAAATGAGGCTAAACAAGGCCTAAAAGAGGTCAAACAACCCCAAACCTCAAAGAGACCTTAAACAACTATCAAAAGTAAGTAAAAACAGAACTTTTACTAGATATACACTAAGCTTAAAAATAGATGCAAGGATGGCTAAAAGCCTATGCAAAAATGGGGAATAAAGGGGTAAAGTTCTTACCCTTGAAGACCTCTTTCAAGAACAATGCTCCAGCAGCCTCTCCAAGCTTAGATCAACTCAAGAACTTTGAAAATCACTCCTTAGTACCTCAGTAGCTAAAGGAAAGTGTAGCACTAGGTGTTTGTATGCAAAACTATGAACAAAAACACCTTAAACACACACAAAATGGAAGGAGAAGGAGATATAGAGATAGAATAGATACACAATCCTCTAACCCTAATCTCAGAGCTCTGGAATTTCTTGGAACCCTTCAGGAAGGAGGAGAAGCCCTCCCTTTATAGAGATTCACTCTTGCAAATCTTACAAAACAAGTTAAGCAAGAGGAAAATCCCTCTACACACGTGTATGGAGGGGATGCATTGTGGATGCCAGCTATCCCAACTGGCATAAAATATCTACCAAAAGCAGATGAACAATGATCGACCAGCCAAAAATGACAAATTGACCAAAACAATGGTCGGCCGACCAAAAGGAGTGCCGACCGGCCAAACATTTGGCCGATGGCAACAAAACATGGCCGGTGGCCTCAAGCCATGGCCGGTGAGGTGTGGGGATGGCCAACAAGCCATTTCTCACCCTCAGAAGCAAAACAACAAGTGTTTGGTGCAAAACCAAACACAAAACAGGCAAGTCGAGAGGTCTTGAGGCAAGGCGCGTGGCCGAGACCTCCGAGAACTCAGGATGAACACAAACATGGATAATCATCGAGTGTTCAAACGATGGCATTCAAGTCTTGAGGACGGTCAAAAACGGGGTGTCTACAGTGAGTAGATCAAAATGTCATCAACAAAGACAACCACAAAACGGTCTAAGAACTCTGAAAAAATTCGATTCATCAAGTCCATAAATGAAGATGGTGCGTTGGTTAGCCCAAAATGCATCATCAAGAACTCGTAATGGCTATACCGCGTACAGAATGTCGTTTCTAAATGTCCTCCTCTTTCATCCTCAACTGGTGATAACCCGATCTCAAATTAATCTTAGAAAGACAACAAGATCCCTTCAACTGGTTAAACAAATCGTCTATACGAGGTAGTGGGTACTTGTTCTTAACAGTTACCTGGTTCAACTTTTGGTAATCAATACACAATCGCAAAATGTCATCCTTCTTCTTAGCAAAGAAAACTGGTGCTCCCCAAGGAGATGTATTAGGGTGAATGAAGCCCTTATCTAACAACTCTTGAAGCTGAATCTTGAACTTACACAACTCAGCAGGTGCAAATCTATACGGTGCCATGGAAATCAATGTCGTGTCAGGCACTAAGTCAATGGAGAACTCGATCTCCTGGTGAGGTGGCAAACTAATAAGATCCTCGGGACAGACATCCAGGTATTGGCAAACTACCTTGGCAATTCAACTTAGACTCCATCACTCTCGCTACCCAAGAGAGTTGTAAGAAAACAACTATGCTCTCCCTTACCACAAGGGTCATAAACTGGTGATAAGACTCTATCAGTTCGGTCCCCTAGAAAATAAAAACAATCACCACTCGAGGTGCACATTGTAACTCTCTAACGATAACAATCAATAATAGCACAATATGAGAACAACCAATCCTTGTCCAAGATGACATCGAAACCCGACATGTCTAAGAATACAAATGCAAAAGTAAGTAGGCGCCCGACAACCTCTATTTCACAACCACGACATCCCCTATCCAAGTCGACCTTACCCCTAACTGGAGACTCTACCCTGAGCGGAAATACTAACTGAGCCACCTCTAACTCCAAAACTAATGTGAATGTAGACGAAATGAAAGAATGAGATGCACTAATATCAATCAACACATTGGTAATAAAATTAAACAACAAGAAGGTACCTCTCAAAACAGAGGGTGCGAGCAACTAATCCGGCGTGGTAACAACATACACACGTCTAGTAGTTCTCTACTCCACTTGCTCACCCTTCAGAGCATAAGTTTGATATGCTGACTGAACCGAAGAGGCTCCCTAGGTGGCCTTTGAGGCCTGTACTGACTAGGTAGGCTGATGGCTCTATGTCTGCCTTGAACCAGAAGCACCAGGTGTGCCACCTGTTTAAGGGTAAAAACTCCTCAAATGCCCCAACTGCCCACACTGATAATAGGTAGGCAACTACCCTCTTCTCTGATTCTGGCTTTGAGAACGAGCCGTAGATGGCGCAGACTATTGCCCTTATCTTCTCTGCGGGCAAACTAGAGACTCGTGGCCCACCTGGCCACACCTGAAGCAAGTGATCTGTCACGCCCCAAACCCGCCCCTAGAAGTTTGGGCATGACCACTTCAAAAACGGACACTTAACCTGTTATATATAACATATGGGGCCTGAGTGGAAGCATAAATTTTATATAATAACATGCAAGGAAAGAGCTACATCCATTGAGAGACCACTATCATGCCAGGATCACAAATAAACAGATAATAATAGTTACATACACATATACAACCCCGCCCGTGTTTGGGCGTATAATAAAAAAAAAAACATTAGAAGTTACAACATATTATAGACAATCAGAATCTAAGCCAAAACTTCACTAAACGGGTAGGCTTCACCCAAATGCTTGGACACACAGAGGCTAACAAGGAAGACGAGCATTAAAAGTTGAGGCTGACCTCCAAATGCAGGACCTACGGAATCAGACAAAATACATAGTGAGATAACCTCAGTGAATAATAATACGTGAATAACTCGATGTTCAACTTGAATTATAATGCAAATCAGAGTTTATATAATATAAAAGACAGGTAGTTAATCTGATTCCGTACTAATGTCAGAACGGTCTTGTTGGTTCACAAATTCACAGACTGGCCCTTGGCTTGGTGGGTTCACATATTCACAATTAGCCTTTGGCTTTATAGATTCATAATTGAGATTTATAATTTCACAACTTGGCCCTTGGCCCTTTGAATTCATAGTTTCACACGTTGGCCCTCGGCCTCATAGATTCATATTTTCACAAGTTGGTCCTCGGCCTCATAAGTTCACAAATTCACAAGTTGGCCCTCGGCCTCATAAGTTCATAGATTCACAAGTCGGCCTTTTGCCTCATAAGTTCATAGATTCACAAGTCGGCCCTTGGCCTCATAAGTTCACAATTTCACAAATATTCATAATTTCACAAGCTGGCCCTCGGCCTCATAGATTCATATTTCACAAATGGCCCTCAGCCTTATAAATCATACAGAAGCACATAGTTCCTTCTAATTATTCACATGAGGTAACATAGTTACGTTACGTTCAATAGAGTGCTAATAGCAACTATTACCAGATTGAACTTCATAATGCAGTCACATCCCATTTGTTTGTCATGAATTACTACCTCTAGTTCACAGATAACAGAATGTTATTACATATTAAACGAGTCCAGAGATACGCAGATACCATAATCTCGTAATACACTTAAATTCCCCTTGTTCGTTATAAATCCATACAACTGACTTACAGATAACAGTGTGTTAGTATCCATTATCAATAATAAACAGAACGTAGTACCCAGTAATGCTCTTAGATTTTCCCATGGTTTCTCATAAGGTGACATAATTGTCCCACAATAATAGAACAACACTATTAACGATAAACAGAAGGTAAATGCTCCATTACATTAATAAGAGTGGAGCTATTCACATCATAACGTGGGTCACATAATCGTGTTATTGACATTCAATTCTTTCTCCGGATTGAGTCATTCAGAGGTTCATCTGATAGTTAACATAATTTCATAATGGTTATTAACGTACAAAACAACCCGTACTCTTATCCAATTATTCGTTTTGATGATCCACTCTAGGTAGATATCTGTATCATGTCAGTGTGTGCCAAATCCTTCAATGTTTATATAAGTTCACACTAATTCTCGTTCCACATACATGTTAACTTAATTGACCACGGAGAACAAGATGTTAATAAGAATCATTGACAACGGTAAATAATGTGCATCAGAGTACTATTACTCACAGTACTATAACGGAGTGCTCGTCCTTCTCAGGTTATGCCCTACACGTGTACACAACTTATACAGTAAGGCATCAAACACAAATTCCAGAAATACCAGAGGGTTAAGCACGTAAAACAGAGCAAACAATATTTTGCAGCATGAAATTTCAAACATACTTCTCCAACTCAATATATATATATATATATATAAGATTACTAGTCTTATAAAACACATCATGGAATTTACACCCATTCATCTTCTATTCAAAGAAAGAAAGGGTTTTTTATGAACATTTCCATGTTCCCCAAAACTCCTTAAATTTCTAGTGTTTTCACCAAAAACCAAACATTTCCCCATCCCCATAAGAAATCCTATTAAATCATTCTCTTGATTTAATAACTAAGCAAGCCCAAAAATATTTAGTAAAATGATTTGGGATTAAACCCATTCTTGAAAACTTCACATTTTAGGTCCCAAAAATTAATATCAACATAGTCAATACCATCCCACAAACAATTCAACATATCTCAAAAGGAATTCTTAAATTCCATTTCAACATTCCATAATCGAATTTATATCATCCACATTATCAATAAATCTTTTCCCCCAATTTCCCTTTTATTAAAACATAATTTACAATGCATTTAACAAAGTTCAATCGCAAAATTTAAACATAATTTTCAAACATAACCAAATTCCAATTAAACTTGAGCACATCTAATTCAACCTACCACTTTCATGATTCAACTATCAATTTGGGCCAAATCATAGATTATCATCAAAAATCAACCTAGGGTTTCTAAGAAATCTACAAATTTCAAATAAAATTTTAAATCTTCTTAACCCATTACTTTTTATTTCAAATCTTCCCATTTATTAGGCACCCTAGGTCCATAACCCACAAACCATACTCTAAACCCCATAATAGAACCCCAACATACCTCAAAAATTTCGAAATTCCATTCGGTAGAAAGTGGTGATCTCCTCTTATTCTCCATCCTTGATGCAAGATCCATGGTTGATTTGTTGAGAAAAGTGGAGGAAATCAAGGTTTTGGGAGCTAGGGTTTCAGACATGGAAGAGGGAAGAAGAAGAAAGGAAAAGAAAATCTAAGAAATGACTCAAATGGAAGAGGGAAGAAGAAGAAAGGAAAAGAAAATCTAAGAAATGACTCAAAAATCACGTTTTTGAGCTGCTGCCCCGCACATCGCCGCACATGCGCCGCATTTCCCGCACGTGCGGTCCTGCTTCCAGCACAAATATGAAAACTTCAAACAGGCGTAACTCTCTCATCCGGACTCCATTTTAGGTCATTCTTGTGCCCAAATTGAAGCCCCAAAAATAAGCTTTCCAATGGTTCTAACCTCACATCCAAATTCCAAGTGTGGAACAAGAAAAGGGCAAAAGAGTGACGGTTGGTCGTAAACGAATTATTCAAATTAAAGTTTTTGATCCAATCTTACTTTACCATCATATTACCACCACAATCAATAGCCCAAAATAAAATAGGGAGGTTCCAAATACACTAATAAAAATGCCACAGATATAAATCACTTTTCACAGAAAGTAAGTAAATGCACAGAATAATAGATCGAAAATATACTAGAAACAGATATGAGGGTCGGGTTATTACATGATCCCACCCTGACTTCCTCTCCCTGAACCAGAACTCGATCCTGGAAAAATGGATCTAAATTGTGTTGGCTAGACTACTAGGACTACTGTAGGGTAGAACCCCTCTGCCTTTTATTACCCCGTACCTCCCCCTGAACCTCCTGACTCCTCTTCTTGGAGCCCCTTATCATTTCCTCTTTCGTCTAAATCATGGTCTCTAAGTAAACTGTAACTCCAAACAACCGTGTTCCACTGTCACTACCAACTCCGATGCAAATCTAGAGAGGCTAGTAAAAGATGCCTCAAACTCTGCTACAGGCGTGTTCAGTTGCTTGAGCTTCAAGAACTAATTCATCAACTTATCCCTAGTAGTGGGAGGTAAGAACTTGTCTTGGAAGGCGTTGACAAAGGCCTCCCAAGTCACCCCAATACACCCACGCACATACTTCCACCATTGACCTGTATCTCTCTTCAGTTGGAAGGATGCTGAGGTTACTCTGAAGTCATCATCCTCGATGCCAAGCATCTCAAACGTCTTCACTATTTGCTATAGCCACTCATTTGCCTTCAGTGGCTCTTTCGACTCCCCTAAAAACTCATTCGAATTCGACCAGAAGAACTTCTTCTTCGAAAAAGACAACCCTGTCTCAGTAACATAGGCCTGGACTTAATTCTCAGCCCTGAGAATGTCTATGGATTCCTTCAAAGCACTAGCCATCTCTCGGGCCAAAACGTCCATGGCTTGTTGACCTGCTGGCTCGGCTATGCTGGCTTGACCAACTCCTTCCTCTTGCGCTAGAATCTCATCTAGTAACAGCACCTCCTGCCGCCTAGGCCTACCACCCCTACCACTACCACTACCACATACATATCCTGCCATTCTAATAGAGGTAACACAACAGATTAGCACATTTATAAAAGTGCTGAACCTAATTCACTCACGTCCTAATATGGTGGACAACAATCAATTCACTCTACATAAGCACCTAATCACATAAACACAAATGAACTTTCTTTCTAGATAATGACCATCCCAGGACAATGCTAGAGTTCCAATTAGAAATAGCAGTGATCAAGTTCTCTTCTAACAGGACTTCAAGAAACTCACACACCCAAGCAATATCTGAGAAATTAAATCTCATACTCATTTAGTCACATAACCATGTTATCACATAGCATACCATGTTTACGTCTAATGTTATCTAGCAAAAGAACCCATTGTGGTAATAACCATTTCTCACGATCCCAAAATATTCAAACCCAGTAGATCTGATACCAAATTGTAACGCCCGAAGTTTGTTTAACAGTAACCCATTTATTAACAATGCTACAATTGATTAACAATCTCATAACTTCTATTCATTATATCTTTGATCATTACAAAAGATGACATAGGCAATAGACATTTATAAATCCTAGATTTTGAATCTATAACATATAACATCAGTATAGGAATAGAAAGGAAATTAAAATCAAATAGGGAAATGCCCTAATGGCTTACAACTTTTCAAAACGGTGCTTGGTTACAACAAAATGAGTTTAAACTCAATACAAGTAAAGCCCGAGGCTTAAACTTATAATTACATCAAAACGAAACCAAAAAGAAGCATTAAGCTCTCAGTCCTCCCAAGCTACGTCCTTGACGTAAGCATATTATCAGCACTTGAAAGTCACATAGGGTGAGCCAAAGCCCAATAAAGATACTCTAACACAGTATATGAATCTTAGCAAAATTATAAGGTGAATGCATAATGCATGCTATTTTCCAAACATTTCCCGTTTTCCATTTCAAAACAATGTAACGCCAGATTATATATCAATTCTTTAAAATAATCTTTTTATACAGAAAATAGGATAATGGAAACTACACACTGGGAATCTCTAGGTACGTGTTTGCAAATAAGCTATACAAGCACTACCAAATCCATTTTACCGATACAAACCGGAAGGATCAGCACCTAACCGAGCGGGTTTCTGAACATTTACAATGTTTAGTGTATAATGATGCACAATGCACAATGAATGAGAAATTAGTTTCAATTCAACCTAATTCTCATACATTGTCTACAATAATCAAAATTATCCTCCACTGATAGCCCAAAACAGATATTTCTAAACAATATAATTTTCAATCAACAGATACATTTCATCAATTATAACAGAAGTGATATTACATATCCAACTCTACCATCATCGTCAACATAACCATTATCCCAATTTCAACATTAACCAACACCCTTCTTCATTTCCTTTTTCACAATTCTAAATGTCCAAAATTAGGGCAAAACCCCATTTTAAATTTCCCAAATACATAACCCTTTTCAAAGAGCAAATAACTAAGCTAAAAATCATAAAAACAGTTAAAGAAATTCCTACGTCGAAGTAGAAGTCAAGAAGCAATAACGAGTATAAAATCAACGGATTTAGAGTATTTGGAGTAAAAGTTCGAGAACTAGAGAGAGGAAGTAGATCTAGGGTTTTGAAATGTTTAGAGAGAGAAAGAGATGAAAAAGTGATCCAAAAAGGCCGTCTCTTGGACTGATATAAGCACAGACCGCTCAATCGAAGGAATGGTCACTCGAGCGACAAACACAATAAATGATACCGCTCGAGTGACCAGAATTACCCCTCGAGCGCACAATGACCCCCTTCTAATAGTTCAGACCTACAAAAGTTCACTCAAGCGCAAGAAAGACTGCTCGAGAGAAGAATACAAATTCTCAGTAGTTTTGCAGACTGTAAAAGACTGCTCGAGCGCAGGAATGGTCGATCGAGCGAACAAACAAAAATCTAGACAACAACTCTTTGAAAAACTAACCTTCCAACCTGTTTCAAACACAACCAAAACTTCCAAAAGCCAAACTCAATCAACAATAAGATGGAAATGAGTTGAACAATAGTTAAATACATGGGTTTTTGAATCCAAAAGCAATTAAATGGGTCAAGTTAAAACCAGAATCGTTATATGACAACTAAAATTTCTAATTTAAATTGCATAATAAAATTCATTTAAAATATTAAAATCGAAAACAAATTGGAGAATGGAATAATTTTTTTAAAGTGAGTAGCATTGACTCCTTTGCTCGAGCCATCCCAAATGAAGTCTGTTGAAGAAAATACCAGAAACTAAACTATATTATTGATAAATGATGCAAAGAAAATGAGATACAAATAGATCAGGCTGAGGCACGGATATCTCGTTTTCTTTAAGGAGATCAAGCCCACTGCGGTAGGAAGAATCCAAATACCGATGCAGCAGTCACAATACTATGACTTGTCCCCTCCAGGATACAACAGCCCGACCACTTGTCGTATGGTTCAGGCCAACTCTGCACAAGATGGTGAACCCAAAGCTCCACCAATAAAACACCCTTCTTTGTTAGTAATCTCTCTTGTATAGAAAATAATTGATGTGTTAGTGGTCTAGAAAAGAGTAGATGAGAGGGACTATTTATAGGCTATTAGGACCTTACAGTTACACCAAAAATAATGACCATTAAACAAGAAAATAGTTACACCAAAATAATGACCATTAACCAAGTTCATGAATTCTATTTAACCTCCATTCATGACCAAGAGGTTACCAAAGTAATAAAACCCCATTTATGAAAAGATAAATCAATAAATAAATATAAGATATTATAATGATCCAACAATGTCTTCTGTAACCTGTATCAGGCTCTACCTCTAAATCATTTAAATCATCTTGTCAGCAATTTTCAACCCCCGTTTATAGTTCTCTTCCCTAAACACACCTTTTTATTCCTCTTCTCCCAACTACGCTTATAATTTTTAACCCTACAATCAAACTCTAACTGAACTTTTTTAGAATATAGACTGACCATATTCTATGATCTCTATCATTGTTATGATCAAATGCTGTGTCTTGAAAGGAGACTAATGTAATTTACAAAAGTATAGAATAGTCAGACATGTGCAAGGTTAAAATTAGGTCAACTATTAAAAATATGAGGAAAAAATCTCAAATCAATTAGAAAACGAATACAAAAAATCTCATTTTCATAGGGTGCGAGTCTATTTTATGGTTGGTGCAAATAATTTCTTGTATTTGATGCAATTCTTTTTTGTGTGTCAGAATTGCATTCCAACGATTCGAATAAGTTTGCCCCACTGATACACAATTCTCTTAAAATATAAACTCAATGTTGAACATAATTTTAATTGGTCACAAACTGAATAGTACAATACTTGTGCCAATTTGTAATGCCATTTTCTTTGTCCAATTCAACACTATAAGCCAATATATTTACTTTTTAGTTTGAAAATTAATTAATTTAAATATTCTAACTATAATAAAAATAAAAATAGAAAGAGAAATCAATCTATACATAATTAAAAATATAAATATATAAATGTTGTTTAGATGTATAGAGAAATATTTTCGATATAAATAAATAAAAACTAAATAAGAAAAATTTGATCTTAATATCTTTGAATTGAACTACTTAGACTAATCT